TAGCTTTTAAAGCCATTAATCTGAAAATGTAATGAGGTCATTTTGACCAAATTTGACTTAATCCTCATTTCGATATGATGGGTCACAAATATACAAATGTAGCGTCTTGTGGTCATTACCAAGGATTTAGGTTTAATGTGTTTCGTCCAGACAAACAAAGCTGATTTTAGAAAAAATGTCCATTAATCTGCAGTCTGAGCGTTTCACTGTTTCATTCTTCTTCAACCTCATGATGGTTGGCTCTGCTGTCAGTGGTCCTAAATGCAGGTGTGGTCTTCATAAACCAGTTCCATTCATTCTGTGTGCATCCAGTTAAACTGTTGTGTAACTGCATCGTGTTACATGATCAGGATCTGACAGGAATGTGCTTTTTGACACTAACATTCTCTGCATCTCTCTCTCTCTCCTTCCCATTCCTCTGCTGCACTCATTTATTTGAATCTTCCTTGTCTTTCTCATTCGTTCACCTCCTCCTCCTCCATGTTTGTCCGTGGCTCGGCTTTGCTTCCTTCACGTCGCTGCGCTCGTTCATCCCCTCCACAGCCTCCTCGCCGCCGCTTTCCCCCGCTCGGTCCTCCCAGCCTTACTTCCTGCACCCTGCCCTCCCTTCCTCCTGCAGCTCGCAGCCCCTCGTAGACCTCCGGTCTCATGTAGGTGCAGACGACGAGTGGGGCCGTGCCGCCTGCTCGGCTCGCATCCAGGAAGATGAGTCAATCTTTGGATTTGACGATTCTCTGGTGGATCTCAGTGCCGACGTTTCCCACTGGGTGTCCGGGTCCATCAGTGACTCTAAACCCAACAGAGGAGACTTGTTATCTGAGTCGTTGTGTAACTTTGACTCCCTGTACAGCAGGGATTCAGAGAAGAGAGGAACAGGGTTTAGTGGCGCCGCTCAGGGGGTTGGTAGCACCACGCCGTATAAGAATATAGACGTCATGATGATGTATTCAGACGGCGTCGGTGCTGTGGATTCTCTGCACTCGGACCGTAATGCCACCAGGGCCAGAACGTACAAAGAGCTGCCCCCCCTCCCCGCATATTACCTGTACTCCCCCAAAAACTGCCCCCTTCACCAAGGCGCACCCCCCCGCCTCTCCCCCGTCGGTGCCCTCTCCCCTCCCCGGCGCTGCGGAGTGATGGGCTCCCGCCTCAACTCCCCTCTTTCCCCCCGCTCCCACACCTTACCCGCCCTCGCTGCTCCCCTCTACTACCCCAACCTCTACCCCCCTATTCCTCCCAGACCTCCCCCCTTACCCCCAAAACTCCACCAGGGTCCTCTGCAGTCACATGTGGCCAGTAAGATCTGTCTTTCTTTTTCCCACTGACATTTAACATGTGTGTGTGTGTGTGTGTGTGTCTGTGTGTGTGTGTGTGTGTGTGTGTGTGTGTGTGTGTGTGTGTGTATGTGTGTG